ACATAAATTTTAAGTATTAAGATAATAAAAGATTAGAAAGGTTAGACTTATTAAATGAAACCAAAACATTCAGCTTGGTTAAGCACTCAATTATGAACTATCCAATTGAGACTAACTATAAAATATCTAAATTCTGATTATTTGTAGCCTAGGCCCTATCAATTTTATTCCAGAAAAGATATGCATGTAATTTTACACATACTATTAGTCTTGTACTACTAGTCTCAGTAATAGACTAGCACCATTGGATCAAAGAATCAATCAAAAGAAGCAACCAAAGAACTTAGAACACTAATTTAAATATCTATGCTAGTCAATTTCAAAGGGATTTGGAATAGGACTAACATAGGTATTCCCCAACACTTTTGATGTAACACAAGGCACTCTCACATCTTCAGGTGGAATAAATGTTAGCTGGTCTTGGTCATTACAAAGCAAAGATATGTGCTTTGCGTAACTGAAAGGCAGAGGTCCAACTCTGTGGCACAACACAAACAAACCACACTTCTCACTTCCGTCCTCAATCTTAAACTTCACAACACTACTAACACTACAGAACCTATCAGAATAAGTGTAGAGCACACTATTGTCAGACAAGGCTTCACCTTTAGGAACACCATATGTTGTGCTTCTAATTAGAATTTTATCAAATTCTTGAACATTATTGACATTAGAGAAGCCACTGTCTTCCAGTGCTTGTTTTTCAGACTGAGTAGTTCTTCTTGTGTCAGGTCTTCCAGCCAAGTAAACATCAGTACCCATCTTGGTAACATTCACCAGTTTTGCTTTCTTCTGAAGCGTCTTGGTCAGTTGAGCTCTTGTAGCAGGTGAAAATTGTTCATTGGATGAAACAGCCGCTGACAAGACCAAGTGCACAAGATGGCGTACTACAATCTGTTGCACAGCTCCAGCCGGAGACATAACACTTTTAATAATTTTGTTGTTCCAACTTTCAAAATTAAAGGTAGAGTAGCACCACAATGGTCCATTTTCTTTGACACAACGAGCAGCATGACTAAGAGTGTGCAAATTTAATTTTGTATTCTCCAAACCATACAGTTCTTCATTTAAATTGAGAAAATCACGGAAACATGTCTCAGCTTCTTCAATATGTTCAGGCAAAATAATGTCCTGGGAAAGCAAAAACGCACCTCTAGACAACTTCTCTATGAGATGCATGTGCTCATCTACTATAAGCCCCTCGAGACAGGGCAGAGCAAAGTGGATAAGCCAGTCTCTCCACTGTGTGCCTTTGAACTTTTTCCGATTCCTGATACCTAAGGGAAAAAATTTAATAAGATTAGAGATTAATTTGATTAAGGAAGATTAACAGAAAAGTGAAATACAGAGATACTTACTGCATGATCCTGGTTTTCTTGAAATTTTAGATGGAGTCTTTATCATTTTCATTCTTGTGTCAATAGTGTTCAGTAGATGCTCATCACTGGTCCTTTCATCTTTCCGAGGTGCCTCAGACAGGATCAAGTCTGTGATGTGCGCAGCTGCACACTCATAGATGACGTGGAGGTCATCCACACAGTTCCCTTTTCGCAAGTCCATGTGGTCCAGCAGCATGAGAGCTGATCCGCCTTTGTGACCTTTAACCACTTGCCCTGACCTATCAGCCAAAACCATGCACGCCTTCATGTCATCATCAGTTCTGTCAGAATACTCAGGTACAAGAGGGTGGTCAAGAGCTGGCCAGCGCATGGTACTTGTCAGTCCAACTTTGAAAGAAACACCATGGATCAAACAGTATGTGCATCCATCAAATGACGCATGGGTACCCATATTTAAAATTTGACCACGGGCTTTCCCATCAACACAGAAGCAGAACACTACTAGTTTTGTTTCCACTTCTTCACCAGTCACATTAGGTCTCTTAATTCCTCTTCTTCCAAGGCCATTGAGTTCCTTGACAACAGGCTTCAAAAGGGTTGCCATTTGTGGTTGTTCTTTGTCCACATAGACAGCAGCAAATAGCATGAACTTCTGTCTCAGATGAGGAGGAAACTCATTAATGCGCACAAAAACGGGAAATGTTTCTTTAGTAGCACCTTTGGTTGCTTTGCAACCATCCGTATTTAAAGTGCCTGAGATGTCATTACAGCCCAGGACTCCTGTTGCTTGTAGTGCCTTGTAGTTCTCAGAATCGTACACATCTTCTATCCCTGTGTCTTCATGCTTCATGCGTGTCTCTCTGAATGTAAGATGTTGAGCAATGTTTGGGATGTTCAAAAGATGATTGAGCTGTTTACGAAGGCTTATGGTGGCAAAATACTTGACCTTACGAGCTTCAATGGGCGTTTTGTTTCTTGCACATTTAGTATTTTTGCAAAAAGCAGACAGACCACGATCTTGCTGCTTGCAGATATACTGTCCCCACTTATCGCAATATGCATGGTAGACTATACCTGAATTTTTCCTACCAAGAACTCTCCAAAGTTCTTTCTTGGAGGTTGGGAAGAACTTGCGTCCAAAAAGAGCATTCTTGTTTTCAAAGCCATTGATAAGAGCTTCGTAAGTGAACTTGTGGCGAATCATCTGTGCCAAGTCAAGCAACAAAATTTCTCTGATGGATGGATTGTTAATGAGCACCACTCTTTGATCCAATGACTGGTTATCAAAAGAAAAGAGATCTTCATCGTTATCATCTTCATCACTATCACTATCTTCAACACCACTGCTCTCTGAGTTATGCGGCTCATCAGGGTCATCAGGATCGTAACCCTCAGGTCCTGTTCCATTATCTTCTGATTCACTTTCTTGAAAGAAAGGTTCATTGGTTTCTGATAGTAAAGAGTGGCCTGAACATGATGATGAAGTATCCTTTCAAAAATTAGAAACATGTTATTAAAAACAGACATCCTAAAAGAGCACATAAATATTTAGTGGTGATAGCAAAGATAAAGTTAATGTAAGACAGGAGTGAAACCGGAAAAGTCAGGCAAGAAAAAGCTATTTTAAGTATAAAATATAGATGCTAATTAAATCAAGAAAAGGCTCTCTGTTTCAATGTAAGTTAGTCCATTGCGGTTCGTTTAAGGTTTAGTACATCTGTAGTTGGACGTAACTAGGTAGCAAAATAGATAATTTAAAATTTCTAAACTTTAAAATGCCTCTTGCGCTACTTAGTTTTCTCGATTTAATTAGCATCTAGATTTCATACACAAAATAGCTGTTTTTCACATGACTTTTCCAGTTTCACTCATTCAAAAACAGAACAGAAATGAATACAAAGTAGGACTAACCTGCTGTTCCTCTACAATGTTATCCACTGAGTTGTTCTCAGGCACAACATCCATTTGACCTGTCAGATCCTAGAATGGAAGCAAAACGAAAATACATGAAGTGACTTCTTCAAATACGACAAATAAGACGATGCATTTGCACTTTGATTCGGAAGGAGAGTAAAAATACCTTTCGGCTTTCTTGCACTGTAAGTTCCTTCTTGGCCAGTGATCCTGACAAAACCTGTTGATTGTCTTCTGGCACACTCATTTCAATGGGTGGATCCTAGAGTGGAAGCAACACAAACGATTATTAAGTGACTTATTCTTACAATAGGACAAAGGAAGAAGACAAACCATGGGGAAAACTAAACACTACCTGTTGGTTGAGCACCTCTCGCTCAACAGCAGCATGTATCTGAGCATCAGGTGGTTCTGCCACAGGAACTGCGACAACTAAACTCTACAAAATACAAAATATGAAGGCAACAACCGTTCAAAGTCAGAAAGAAAAAACTGATAAATGTGTAATATTGTATAAGCTAACCTCTCCAGAAGCCAGAGCATCAATTATGTCCTTTTTTTTCTTGGTTATTCGGCGGTACGTAGTTGCTAGTGACCGCTTGCTCGAATTCGGGTTATTACCATCTTTAGAGCCTTGTCCTGAACAGCTCATGGCTGAACATTAGAAGAAATAGGATTTCAGGTAATGAGTTCCACGAGAACGCGAGCTCACGCTTACAACAACTGCACCACTAGGGTGCATTCAGTCGTTAGTCGTTGTACATGTACATAGTCAAAAAAATTCTCCTTTGGCCGGTACGACAAACGACAAACGGCATCGGTAGCAGCCAGAAAGCAGAAGACGCGTAAAAGCAAAATGCCAGCGGACTGTTTTTGTGTTGGTGGGGTTTATTGTAAATGTTTGGAGTGATAACTTGCAGGATTATGCAGTGAGACTCTTGTAATGTGAATAATTGATTTTATTTAACTGAAAACTCATTTTCATTGCTTGTTACAGTTTAAAAAATAAAGATTTTAGGGCTTAGAGTTCATTTTGGAACAATAACCTATAATTTGCTGATTCAAAAGAAACCATTTAATCTTGTAACTAATTCCTTTCAAGATTTAATTTGATTTGATTACTGCTAGCGAGGATTACTGGACTCGAGACTTGTGCAAGACTTTCCTTAGTTTGTCCCTGATATCAGATTCACTGAAGAGAATTATTTCACTGCCTGGTGCACTTGTTTTAACAATACCATGGTTAATCAAATCTAAAATTCAAAACACAAAGAGATTTTAGTAGGCACACTCATTGAACATCAAATTGAAAAAGACAATAAAAAAATTCAATTACTTTTTATGGAAAGAATGAAGTCATCAGGAAACATTGTCTTCTGGACCTCCTCATCTTCTTTCTTCATTCGCAGGCAATAATTTTTGATATTGCTTCGGCCCACCATGGCGGCAGTGAGTAGCTGAACTCTCTCTTGAAGTTTTTCATTTGTTAGATACACTATTGCCTGAATGACTTTCACTGGAAGAAAAGAGGTTCTGCACCCAATGTAGACCTGAAGGAGAAAAGTGTATTTAGATTAATAAAAATAACAACAAGCCAAAAAGCCCTACAGAAAACAAAACAGATGAACAGAAAATATGTTGGGGAACGTACATATTCTTCCTCACTTGTTTCATCGTTAGCAGGTGGAGCGACAGGAACACTTAACTGTGGACAAACAGCGTTTCGTGGCATCTTCCACAAAGGATGCCCTTTCAGTTCAGAAGGGGTTTGGATCTCTGTGGTAACATATGATAGATTTATTATCCTAATAC